AATCCCTGGCCCCCTCCTTTTTTTTTTTTTTTTTTTTTGGTACTGGGGATAGAACTTGGGACCTTGTGCTTGTGAGGCTGGTGGTGGAACCACCAAGCTCTGAGCTAAATTCCTGACCCTCTCCTTCTATTTTTTTAACCTATTTCTTTTGCCATGCCTTTCTCAAGATGGAACCTCAGACTAACTCAGAGACCTTCCTTTTAGCTGAAATGTTTCATAAAAGCCATGTAGCCCACCTTGGCTCTGTGTGCCCAGGACGCAACCCAGTGAAGCCTAAGGCTCACGTCCACACCACCCTGCCAGCTGGAGGAGAGCTGGTGCTGTGCCTGGGCCCTCCCATCCGAGTGGGTGACACGTGCCACCTACTCCAGGCAGCAAAGCTAAACGGTGGTCTGGCTTTTCTACCTGGTCAGCATTTGGATAGTTTCTTTTAATTTTATGAAGATCATACTAGTTTATTTTGAGTGGGAAAATCTTATTGCAAAGGCCTTTTGTATGAATTGTCTTCATATTTTTAGAGCTTTGAAGCAATGGTTTATACTGGCAGAGAAGACAGTGTACCACCTGAGAATGCATTCTTTGGAGTGTACAGTAATTGTGAAATAGAACAGGGGCTCTTTTCTTAAAATTCCCAGTGTGTGTGCTCTTCCTGGTTGGTAAAATTTATAAACAACATCTGACACTCGTACCACCAACTTTTCTTTTAAAGGCCCCTTTGGTCACTTTGTGTCAAGCTCAGAAGAATCAATAAATTAAGTACTCTGAAATGATATACAAGCTGTTTTGAAAGCTGATTCTTGTGATTACAGTAGTGTGTGTTTGTCCTGTCCACTGAATTACCTGCACACAAGTGCACCAAAGCCTAGGACAGTAGTTTATGCACGTGTTAATGGGTTTATCATTAATATAACTGTTGGTCCACTCATAATTTGTGAGATAATGTATGTAGAGATTGAGTTATCAATTAAAAACTTTGGCCTTTTTCTGGTCATAAAAATGCCTTTTCTTGTGTAGGGGAGTATCCACTACACCTCCTGGTAAATAATTGCTGTTTTTCTGCTTGGTTTCCACAAAGTCCCTTGAGACTCCCTCGCAGGCTGCTCTCACCTTGCTGGTGTACTTTCCTCTCATGGTAAAACCCACTGGGGTGCTTTCTCCTGCCCCACCCCCAGATTGCTCTCCCACACTCAGGAGAGAACAGGACCCCATCAGGAGTGCCTGTCCCTCTGCCATCCCAGCTTCACTTTGCTTCCTCTGTGAAGATTCTTAACAATTTGCATAGACACAGTAGTGTGTACTCACTGTCTCCTCCCTGTGGGTCCCCAAGTAATCAAAGCCTGCCTAGACCTTGTACAGTCCAGAGCTGACTCCTGAGCTGACTCCACTGAGGGCACCAGTCAGCGTTGAAAGCATCGTGTCTTACGTGTCAGTTCATCCCCAGGACAACTAAGCAGGTAGGTCTGCTGACTGCCTTTTGAATATTTGATTCTAAAACACAAGTAAAATGTTTGGCCCAAGAACATTGTCAGTGGCCAGGTCTGTCATCAACACCCTGCCATCTGGCTCCAGCCTCTGTGCTTTTATGTTGAGATACACTTGTACTAAGATACCCTAGAGGTCATGACCCATGAGCCGAGCTCTGAAAGGAGATTTGAGGGAAAGGGAAGAAAATGAACAAAATTAAGCTCACACTGAGAAGAATGGGCACATGAGAGGCAGTGGGTAAGGGGGGAGGATGCGGTGGAAGGCTGGGGACCTGGCCTTTCCATGTCTCTTTAGCTGTTTACACGGGAGACATCAGAGCCACACCTTTCACAGGTGTTGAGCTGGCAGCATAGAGTGGACTGGAGAAAGGGCAGGAGTACAAGTCACCAAGGAGGGATGGCTGAGAGATGGGATTGGGACAGCTGAAGAGACCACTGCCTGGCTTCAGCAGGACTGTTACTTCATGCTAGTATAAACAGTATTCATATTGGTTTGGTTTTTGATTCACGTCTTAAACAATACCAGAAAATGCTCTTGAAGGCAAAATCACTTTTTTCTGCATTCATTTAGCAGCAGGCACATCATTTTTGGCAAATGGCTCTGCCCTGCCACCACACCAGCAAATGGTGTGAGCCTTAGCCCTGACCAAAAAGGTTGTCTGTCCTGCTCATACCTGTATCTGCTTAACCCCTGGGGGCCCCCATTGAAGCCATTGGCAGTGCCCAGGGAGCACAAGAGCCATCAGATGCTGGGCCAGGAGCAGTTCTCGGGAAAGAGGCCACTTAATCGGGTTAGGACACTAAATTGAAGTGCTCATGCCATCGTGGTTGAAAATACCCCCCAAGAATTTCAGAGGAGCCTGCTATGCTCCGTTTTTCCAGATCTCTCCCTGTCCCATCACTGGACAAATAAATGATGTTTTTTAAAATCTTATCAAAGAAGAAAGGAGAGTAGGAGGTTAGAAAAACCCCTAGAAGATCAGAGGTACTTAAGTTCCCAGTACTTCCTAAGATCAGCAGGAAATGCCTTAAAGTTAACCTTTCTTGTCAAGTCGTGATACCTGAGAGATTGGGAAATTCGAACACCTGTGATGCAAAGCTGAGCTGTAAGCACTTTCAGAGACGGCCTCAGCCCAGAGGGAGCACAGAAAACCCGGGGTGCTGTGGCCTCAGGCTCTGCAGTCCTGGAAAGACAAGGTTTGGAGGAGAGATGCACCTGGATTTGAACTGTAGCCATGTGACCTGGCACAGGTGAGGTAATTTCAGCCATTTCCCTTCTGCAGAGCAATCTGGACACTGAGGAATCTGATAAACCTAACCACACAAAGAGCGTCCTGCTAAGAGCAGCTCAGCACAGTGTAGTTTTCGTCCCTTTTGCCCATTTTCCTGTGTCACACAGGATGATGTCTATGGTTAAAGCTAGAGGTTAGAGAAGCAAAGGTTTCGACACAATCAGTATTATTCCATGTTAAAATCTAGAGAAACATTGTCATGTTTCCAACAAATTGTGACCATGGTAGCTCACTTGGTGTACTTACACTTTGTATAATATAATCACAGATTTTATTCTTAGCTGCTGATTATCAAACCCACCTTAACCAAGGAGCTATTTTGAAAAGCTCACTCCCCGGTAAAAGCTGGGCTTCAGCAGAGACCCAGCCGACCCACAGCCTCTGACATACTGAGTCTAAATGGCTGGTGTAGTCACGTGACAGTCCTGCCATGATCCCCTGTGAAGTCAGCAGTGAAGGGGACCTTGCAGTCTTGATGCTGAGTTCAGTCTGCACCTAAGCAAGGGCTTTTACCGGCACTGGTCCCTAAGCTGAAGACTATTCTTTAATAGCCTGAATGGGGTACTCTTACTTCGATTAACTAGAATTCCCACCTTTTCACTATAAAGTTCTTGTATATTCTGTATGACACCCTTTCTATTAGAGATTGAACCCATGGCCTCAGGGCATGTTGAGTGCTTCAATCCTAGCTTGGACTCCAGGTTTTGAAGTTGTTCCCAAACTAAGGTACAGATCAACCTTGGAGATTGTGTTTGTTTGTTTGTTTATTTCTGTCATTGAGTTTATTGGTACATTTTAGGTATACAGTACAGTTACTGTATACAGGTCTTGGTTCTCATTTTTTCCCCTTGTCCCTGCGCTCCCTTCACCCCCTCTTCCCCATTTACAAATACTTCATTTCCATTTTTTTCATTTTCTCGTTTTTTTTTCTTTTCCCTTATTACATTTTCCCCAACCTCTCCACTTTCCCTACACCTTTAGTCCCTTTCTTCCTATTTCACATTGTCAATCATATCATTAGGATTTTATGTACCATTATAGTTTTTCACACCAGAGAAACTATTTGGTATTTACACATGTGTGACTTATTTATTTCGCTTAGTAGTATATCCTCAATATGTATCCATTTTCCTATGAATGAATCTAATTTCTCATTCTTTATGGCTGAGTAGTATTCCATTTTATAGAAAAACCATACCTCCTTTATCCAATCTCCAACTGGTGGGCAAATGGGCTGTTTCCAAGTTTTAGCTGTTGCAGACTGTCGCTGTAAACATAGGTGCGTTGGAGACTCTGTTTAAAAGCAGGTTCTGATGGCCAAAGTCTGGGTGGGACTCAAGATTCTGTATTTCTAGTAAAAGCCCAAGTGAAACTACCACTGTTGACTTACAGTTGATTTCCTCCACTCACCCATGCTCCCCGTGCCCCAGGCAGCTGTTTGTGAGACCTTGAAGACATCACAATGGACAGTCCCTCATGCCCCATCAGTAAGTACTGACAGTGCCAGGGCGAAGAATGGGATGAGGAAGACCCAGCCACTGCTGTGGGGTTGCAGAAGAAGCAGCCATGTAATGTGTAATTGTAAAACAAGTGGTAAGTGAAGTGACAGGTGCAGTCGCCAGCACTTGAGAACACCAAAGAGGGGCAAACTAAGTCAGTCTGGGCTCTGCAAGATGGGATGGGGTGAGGTGGGTGGCGGGGAGGGAGAGGGAAAGATCAGCACTGAGAAGTGACATAGCATCAGGCTCTTCTCTAATAAGGATGGGTCAGCACTCTTGTCTCCTTCAGGACTGGTCACAAGGTGCTGGACGCTAGCTGGTCATGGCCAAGCCCATGCAACCTTCAACATGACCACTAAAAACCCTGCCTCTTCTCGCTTTCTGTGACTCCTTCCTCCCCTCACCATGTTCCCTTGGGAACTTAGTTGGTCCCACATGCATGCTGTCTGATCTCCTCCCTCTCTAAGCAACCAGGCGTGAGTGTACAAGGCTTTGGTGGAGAGGAGAATCTGAAAGAGAAAATGGAAGAGTGCATCCTCTCCCCTTTTCCAGCACGAGGACACAGGGCAAGTTATCCAGCCTGGTCCAAAACTGAGTGGTGGAAATAAATGAACTGGTCAAACTGGATCTGGACCAGAGTTGCCAGGGACACCCTACTCTCCCCACCCAACAGGCCTGTCAGTCTTCGAGACCACCACTGAGGCCATGATCCACCCAACCAACAGTGGTCTCTAGCAGACAGTTTTTTCCTGGAGACTGTCCACAAAGCATGGGACTCCAACATTAAGCACAGGCAGCTTTCCATGAAGTTCTTTTACAGGTTTTGTTGTGTCTTGTTTTGCAGTGTTGGGGCTCAAATCCAGAGCCTTGTGTGTGATAAGCAAGTGTTCTACCACTGAGACACATCCCCAGCCCCACGCAGTTGCGTTGGATGGAATTTTTCTATTTCTGGGGCTGGGGATTTAGCTCAGTGGTGCCATCACCTACCTTGCAAGTACAAGGACCTGAGTTCAATCCTTGGTACAAAAAAAAAAAAAGACTATTTCTGATCCACCCCACCCTGAATCACCCCTACTGCCATCCACCCCAGCGCCTTTCCTTACCCTCTGCCTCTCTGTGTGCTGCCTTGCATCTTGGGCTGCAGGTGGCTGGCATGTGAGCCTGAGGCTAGTGAGTTGCTTGTCTAGAAACCCATTTGGTACATGTGCTAGTTCCCTGGGAAATGGTGCAGGAGTAACTTGCATGTACGCTTGTAGCTGCATGGCTTTTCTTTGGACTCAAAGGAAGACGTGTGGAAAGGAATGCAGGTTCAGAGATGGATGGCACAGTTGGAGTCACGGGAAACATGAAATCTGTCCTTTCTCCTTCAGATTGCTGAGCAGAAGAGCATCCCACATCTCTGGCTTTCTGTTTTTGAGAGCCTAGCTCCATTTCAGGATTCTGTCCTATAGACCAAGTGCTACTGCCGCAACAAAGTGAAACAGGAGAAGCATAGATATTCCTTGGAACCCACGTCAGGTACCAGTCTACTTCTGTAAACACCAGCATCCTCCCATCCCTTTCCTGAGGCACTGAGCCATCCCCACTCTGTCTGTATTAGTCTATTTCCTGTTGCTATGATGGAATGCCTGAGTCTGGGTGCTCTAAAGAAAAGAGGTTTACTTGGATCTCAGTTCTAGAGATTGAGAAGTCTTAAAATCAGACATTGTGGTGAAGGCCTCCTGCTGCATCATGCAGGGTAGGAAAGTAGATGGGCAATCAAGTGCAAATGGAAGAGACAGCAAGAGGATCTGAGCTTGCCTCACTGTCACAGTAACTGAACCACTACTGCAAGAGAGGGATCAACCCTTTCCATAGCTGATAATCACCCGAAGTCCCACTGCCCAATGCCACTACAGTGGCATGAATTTCAGAGGGGAACTAAACAGCTGGCTTTCAGGAAAACATACCTAGGCATGAGGCAGTCTCAGAAACACACGGCATGGATTAGCCACCCCGCCTCACCAGGGAGACCCTATGTTTCCTATCTCCCTTGCACAGTGTGGGTCCTGATTGCTGAGGTCAAAGGCCAGCAGCAAGGGCTCTGATCCCACAGCACATTCTCCTCAGCATTGTGCTCCCCTGGGGAAATAAGGCAAGGGTGACTAAACAGGAAAGAAACAGGGCAGCAAGGGGTGAAGCACTCAAGGAAGCAACAAATGCTGTAAGAATGGCCCTAAGGATGGCTTAGGCAGGCAGGCCTCAACCCTGCGCAGAGCTGGTGGGGCCCTGGTGTGGACAGAGCAAGCAATCCCAGACCAGCATGAAGTCAGGCTGTGAGGGCAAGGGAGGGGCATCCCAAAATGCCCCTCAGGGGTGGGCAATGGAGGTGCACCCAGGTGAGGCTGGGGGCCAGAGCCCTGAGCTGCAGCACAGTGGGTTCCTTGAGGTGGGCTAAGGAAAGGCATTCAAGGCTTGAGCAAGAGCGAATCTTGATCCAAATTCTTCTGTAGGAAGGCTAACCCAGGGTGTCTTATAGAAAGTAGGAAGCTGCAGCACAGGGGACTGTTGGGGCACTAATACATGACGGTGAGCACAACCAAAGTACCACACAGAGAGCAAAGAGCAGAGGGGACTGGCGAGTGGCCAAGGCATGTGGGAGTACTAACTTCTGACCAATTGTGCTGTAACCCCCAATCTTCTCTGAAAAATAATTATTTTAAAAACAAAATCTTCCGTTAAGCTAACAATATAACAGGATAGTTGCTTAATTCAAGAAAATTTAGGGTTTTTAAACGTTGATTAATATTTGGTGGCACTGGGGATAGAACTCAGGCTCTTGCACATGCTAGGCAAGTGCTCTACCGCCAAGCTACCCCAGCCTCTTAAAGTTGCATTTTTAAGCAGTTATTTCCAGTTATTGTTTCATGCTTTCCACGTAGTTCATTTTTTTCTTATAAAAAAAGTGCAATAGTAAAGGTTATTGTGGTAGTTCATTTGTGGTATCAACGTGAACAGGAAACACCTAGCAGGGTGGCTTAGCACAGTTCTGGGTGTGTCTGGATGACTGCCTCACTGGAAACAGAAGACCGGCCCTGGGTGTGGGTGGCACCAGCCAGTAGGCTCGTAGCCTGGGTGGAATGAAAAGGGGAAGAAGGAAGTCTCACCTCTGCTTCTGTGGGGGCCAGTCTTTGCCGTCACTGTTGGACACCTGTCTCCAGGCCTCCAGACTGGCTTCCTGGTGAAGACTTGCATGGACTCTATAGTGAACACCAGACCTTTGACTGGATGCTCCTGATCTCCAGACGGCCCTTTTGCATTCTCCTGAACCTGCCCGTTCTTCTAGTGAGGCCAGATACAGGCATGTTTAATAGTTTATCTACCAGTGTGAAGGCCACAGCAGAGGACTTTACATTTAATATCTGTTCAAGATGAATGAGCCCTCTTCCCTCCCCACAACAGCAGGGAATCTGAGGCCATTGTGACACCAATTGTCATTTCTGTCCACTGTGTGGGCAAAAACACCCTCCATCATCTGCTGTTTGCCAAGGTCAGAACTTCCTGTGTTCGGAGGTGTCAAATCTGCTTGCTCCTTGTTCACGGTTCTGATATAGTTCTAATCCATAGTACCAGATAATGTGCCCCACTCGGTCTGTATTCAGCTCCCCTTCTGACCTACCCAGGCACTCCTGACCATAGGCTGGATTTATTTCCCCCATAAACCTCTCATAAATTGCAAAGAGCATTAGTCAAAAGTGCATTTCCACCGGGTGTGGTGGCTCATGCGTGTAATCCCAGCACTCGGGAGGCTGAGGCAGGAGGATCGCTGTGAATTCGAGACCAGCCTGGGCTACATAGTGAGTTCCAGGTCAGTCTCAACTACATGGTGAGACAAACAAACAGAAAACAACAACAAAAAAAGTGCATTTCCTATAGCTCAGTGTGGTTACTTCAGCAACAGAGTACACTATGAACCGGTGGCTTCCCTCACACTCACAGTTGCTGACTGGGACCTGTGGCTGGCCAGCATGGTGAGAGGAGAGCAGACTGCTATCCCTAGCCCTAGAGAAGACCCAGATTCGAGAGCTGAAGTGAGGGATGGTGGTGTAGCCAGAGGCTAAGTGGTACAGTGCTTGCCTTGCATGTGTGATCACTAGTACTGCTGGAAAAAAAAAAAAAAATCAAAGGCTTGTGTTGAGTTTTTGCAGAAGAAACATGTAATGCATGACCCAGAAATGTACAAGATTAGCTTACAACACTCACCCACAGAGTCAAATGCAGAAGAATGCAAGAGACCTGTTCGTGAGCTGGAGATCCAAAGAGTCTGGCCCAAATCCTGGAGCCCATGCAGTGTCTTGTGCAAGTCTGTACCAGGAGGTCAGGGGGCGGAGGACTGGAGGTCTGTGCCGAGCCCATCAGCTGCTGATGAGGGTAGAGAGGCTGCTCGGCAGGCAGCGAGGCCAGTGCTGGAAGCGCCTGTGCTAGAGGCTGAAGGATCTGAGCCAGGAGACGATGCTCAAGATGAAGGCAAAGACCAGAGCTCCTCCCCACAGAGAACAGCTGTCCTTGGCAAAGGTGGGGAGCAGAGCTCAGCCAGAGAGAACAGCCGAAGCTTCTCTGAAGAAAAGCCACCGGAATGAAGATCAGCAGCAATAAAGCTCTTCCAAGGGAAATCAGCCTGAAATCCTGCGAATTTCTGAACAGAACTACAGCCTAAGGATTTATTGTTTAAAGACTTTACTAAAGTTGATCTGAAGACATCTAGGACAAGAAAAGCTTGACTTGGAGGGCGGACAATGATGGGTCCTGGCTTGGCGGATGTGAGAGCTCTGAGTCAGAGGGATTCACCTCTCAGTGCTTTCAGAAGGCCTCACTGTGGCAATGTGGGAGGCCTGGGCTAAGATAAGCCTTGTGGGAGGAGGCCGAGCCTGAGATACCCCCATCCTTTGTGACTCCGGACAGGTAAATGTGCCTGCTCCCATCTGGCAGAAATATGAAGTCTCTTCTATGCTGAGACTAAACCAGGGGCTCCCAACTAGAGAGCGCCAGACCGGGAAAGGCGCCTCACACCAAAGCCCACCAGCAATGAGCAGACATGCCAGTGCAGAGGCTTCAGCTCTGCTCTGCTTCTCTAGAAGTGAGCCCACGTTCCCATGCAAAAGTAGGAAACCTTGGAGAATCCCACCAGCACAGGGAGGACTAACAACACTCACATCAAGGCCTGTTCTGTAAAAGCTCCCACGCAGGGTCCATGGCCTTACGGATCACAGAGCTTCTGCCTGCTCTCCAGCACTTAGCACCTCCCCGGGTGGAGCAGACCACCAGAGACCTCCAGACAGCTGAGAACCACCTCGCTGTGGAGCTTGGGAGCCACAGCAGAGAGAGAAGTGTGAAGGAGAGGAGAGAGGAGAGGGAGAACACATTTCAAAGAATGGGTGAAATGAGTCCTTCTGTCACACCTGATTTACGAGCTCCAGGAGGGCGGCCCAGATGAAGGGAGGAGAAAGCCCACCAGACTCACCTCCAGCATCAGGGTGTGGAAAGGGAATCCGGGCTGCCCCTGGCCGTTGACACCTCTTACACTGCTAGCAGTGTCTCAGTTACTTTTCTCATTGCCAAGACAAAATACCCAACACCCAAAGTTAGAATAGGGAAGGTTTATTTCAGCTCACAAGTTTGAGGTTTCAGTTCATAGCTGGCTGGCTCCAAGGCAGGGTGGAATGGTAGAGGGGCATCACAGAGGTGAAACAGTCCATGGGAGAGCAAGCCAAAGCCAGGAGGCAGCAAAGCAGCAAGCAGCAAGCCACCACAGCAGCCCTTTTTCTTTCCTTTATATTCCAGCCAGGCTACACAGCCTTAGGGTGGGCAGCACTCACACCCAGGTGGGCCTTCCCATTATCCACACCCAGAACTATGCCAGACCAATCAGTAGTAATCACTCCCTTAATCCCAGCATCACACACCCTAGATCCAGCCACCTCTGAAAGGCCCACCTATGACTGCATGAGGCTTGGGGGTGACATCTAGACACAGCCATAATACACTGTAAAGGGCATGTTAGAAGGGGATCTAATATCCTGAGGAGGCCTCCAGTATCTCAGTGGTGGCCAGGCAACTGGCCTCACCGGGAAAAGGAACCCAGCAAATGAGATATTTGGGGAACAGAACACCAGAGAAATTGAAGCCAGCAAACAGTACCAGAGACCACCTCCCACCTCTGTTGGGCCCTCAGGAAAGTGGAAAACAAGTGCCACATCCTGACTGGGGACCCATATGTAAGTGCTTAGGAAGAGAAATCCTCAGCCACAGGTGAGTAGGCCACAGCTGTGAGCAGAGACACCCTGGGGAGAAAAGCAACTGGAACAGCCCAGACACAGGCAGTGATCCATTCTTCCCCCAGGCTGGGAATGCTGACCACCACCACACAGACTGTACAGGAGCTCATACCACACCAGTCTGGGTTGCAGGGACATTGTGGGCAGAGCAGTGGAGAGATGCAGCTGAGCCACAGGACATCCGGCTGTGCTCCTTGAAGGAGC